AAAGAAGTCATCTTCTTCTCAACACACACACACATAAAGATGCAGACACGGACACACACCGTCAAACCATCATATTGCACACACGTGTGTCAAAAATGATATAACATCCCCTCCGTGTTCCTTGTCGTAACCCCTGTCCCACGAATACGCTTGTCTCTTGAACATAGCATCAAGCTGCCATCTGATTGACACACTCTGACATTTCCTGCCAAACTGCAGGGGTGTGTGGGACAGTTTAGGGCTGCAGCCAGAGTGATAAAGATTTGGACTGATTCCATTTGCTTTTGCTCTATTTTGGTAAGGAAAAGGCGATTTTTCAGTTTCCCTCGCCTCTACCATGCAGGTTATTTTATTTTCTATTTTGGTTTAACCAAAAAACGTGGTGCCAGTATTAAAATGGTATACTTTTATAACTAACTAAATAAAGAAATAACATTAAATATAACTAAAAACAAATATAACTGTAGATACTGCAAAAGAATCTAGGCATATCAACACTATATTGTATTAAATCTAATGTATTTTTTAAATACTTTAATTATTAAGGATTATTAAATTATTAGTATTTTTTTTAAATTGAGTGAGTTTCAGATGATAGCAAAGGTAATATAGTGTAAAAAATAGAAAAAATATATGTAAAATATCTAAAATATATGTAAAATGTTTACAAATGTGTAAATAAAAAGATTAAAATTAATAAAATAATAAACAGTTATTTATACAACATCAGCATATAAAATTATGTTATAATAAATTAAAAAGGTAATGTAGATCTAAAAAACAGAAATAGGCATGAATATTTAAATACCAATATCAACCAATACTGCTAAATTTAAACATCCCCAATATCGGATGATAAGTGTTGTGGTTGCCTCTAATATATAGGCTAAAATACAAATATGAAAACGACAGCAGTACAGTCAGGCTTAAGCCCTCATCTTACCTGAGGCTGACTAGCAGAGTTGGAATCAAAGGACTAAACTACAAATCTCTTTGGATATCACCTGAGCTACTAGAGAAGTTCACTCTGTGAAGGATAGGATTCGGCAGAGAAATTAATCCTCCTCCTATTTATTACCCTTTAAAATGCCCTCTAAATGCAAAAAGTCATTAAATCTATTATATTTCACAAGTAAGCGTGATGACATGGCATCAGTGAGGTGACATGCTGCCAGCACTGAAACCTGGTGGGAGTTGTTAAAAATCACTATCTTCAACTGAATTAAACGGCTGTATTTTAATCAGAATCATTCTAAACGCCTGTTGTAAAGGGTTAAAATAGATCTTGTGCAACACTATTCGATACTCTTTGTTTCTGAATGCGGTTAGCATATCACTGACAACGTGAGATAATTCTTCACAAGACTTAGTATCTATGGTTTTCTAAATATAACGTCTTATAGCTTGCAGTTGTTAGTCCAAGGTATTCAGTTCCTTGAAAAGAAGTTGCTTATCTGGCTCTTGCAGTGAGTTAGAAAACTACATTTCCACTCCTTAAGTCCATTATATGGTAAAGTGAAGGGAACGAGAGAAGATTGTGCTGATTTTCAACTCCAGATTGCCAGCTACAGCCTAAATAATAGACACCATTGTATTTCCCTTCTGCATTTTCTGGAAAAAGCCAAGCAAATCCAGCCCAAAAAGCAACCAACAATGCCTACAACCGACGAGTAATAGTCTTATGCTTACTCATATTTGTTACAATTCGGGTGTGCGAATTGTATTAGGACATGTGGCGGCACTTGGCTAGGTATTTCTAGTAAAGTGAATGGACAAGCGCAGCACAATTTATTCTCAAAGTAAAGTTCTCTGAGTATTCTGCACATGGCCTCGGGTTACGTTGTAATGACAGTCATAAGCTTTAGGTGACCGCGCTTGTGGCCCTGTAGACATCTCTGCTTGACCTCTTGGGACCCGTGGGAGATAAATAGGCAAAGACGCAACGAGCTAACTTGCCCTTGCTATTTGTATGTGCTTAGCGCAGCAAGGTATGGTGTAATAACTTGGCAAAAGCACAGCTCTGGAACCGATGTGGCAAAACTATTAGGCATTAGTTCTTTGACGCATTAAGAAAATAAAGCACAGATGTTGAGCGTGGTTCAGCGCTCTCCATGGGTCTTCAAGAACCTGCTTCATTTAGCCTGTAAATTAAATAAAGGATAGCATGGCAGCGCACCAAAAACTCACAATATCACTTGAGAACTGCAGCTCCATCAAAGAGACCAAATATATTTCTTCATCAACGTCCTGACAAGATCGAATTGAGAAATCAAACATTACAAGGAAATCAGTGCCAAAGCAAAGAGCAGCCTGCCATGAGGGGACATCTGTCTTCAAGCATAATCATATTCTATTCGCAGGTGGCCATCTGAATATATAAATATTTTATTATCATGTTGAAACTTTGGCAGAGAAAGTACATTTTGCTGACATTTATATAGAAGTGTTATACCACCATGCCACCTATAAATCTCAGTGATATATTTCCCCAGCTCTTATGTGAGTCTGCTGCAAATGCCCATGTTGGCAAAAATGAAACTTTAGACCTAAAACAGGCAGGCGCTGACTTCTGTATAATGTATCCATATGAACAGTACGGTGACACGCTGCTGCATATATTTGTCATGCCTAATATCATTCATATAAATGGCAGACTGATAAATGGGTGCATTAGTAGAGTTGGCCACATAAAATGGGTTTATTCAGCGCCGACAGGAACACAAACTGATGCCCTTAGATGCTCAAACAGAAAAAAATGGACACGCTGGTGTAATGAACAAGACAAATTACTCTTATTACAAAAGTATGCATTGTTTAGAATTTCTTATAATTTTGATGAGAATGTTTGCTCAGTAAGGATAATGCTCAACAAAGCGTGTCTCTTGTGTGTGACCCAGCTGAGGAGACAAGTGGAGGAAGTTTGCGTTGTATAATCTCTCCTTAATACTCTCACAAAATGAACTGTACTCCATATACCTGCATTATAGAAAAGATCCAACTGCATTACTCTAATGCTATCCAAGTAAATCACTGTGACGGCTTCCCTTTCAATGATTTTGTACTAATCTTGATTTTTATATATAAAGTCATGACAACCTTAGAGGTTTCAGACTTCTCGACCTTCTCCAATTTATCCAATCATGCTAAATGGAGTAAAATATGAGCTTAGAGGAACTGGCTGTGTCATGATTTCCCCCCTTTGCTCTTGCTTTTAACTGAGAAGAGATGTAATACTAGATATGGTAAGAAAATGTAAAATGGAAAGATCACACCTGAGGGGAAGGAACCAGGTTCGGTGTCGTTAAATTATGGCATCAAGTTGAACTTGAAAAAACAGTGTGACGCAGCATAATCACAGAAGGTATTTAATATTTAATATTCATGTATTAATATTTATTATTTATTATTTAATATAAATATTTAATATTTATTAATATTAGTTTTTACTGTGGATGGGGCTGTAAAGTGTGATGCTGCATAAACTCACATTTACGCTACAGTTCAAAGGTTTGGGTTGGCTGCATTTAAATCGATAATATTATGAAAAAGTAACTGTTTTCTATTTTAATAGATTTTAAAATGTAATTTATTCCTGTGATGGTAAAGCTGAATTTTCAGCAGCCATTGTTCCAGTCTTCAGTGTCACATAATCCTTCAGAAATTATTCTAATATGCTGATTTGCTGCTCAAGAAACATTTCTTATTATTATCAATGTTGAAAACAATTGTGCTGCTTAATATTTTCATGGAAACTGATATATTCTTTTTAGGATTCTTTGAAGAACAGAAAGTTCAAAAGAACAGCATTTTTTAAAAACAGTACTCTTTTGTAACATTATAAATGTCTTTACTGTCACTTTTGATCGATTTAATGCATCCTTGCTGAATAAAAGTATTAAATGCTTTAAAAAAAATCTAAATCTTGATGATCCCAATCGTTTGAACGCTTGTGTAGATGGAAGAGATATACACAGCTGATGTGACATGCTGAAATATAATGTTTGGAAATTGCAGTCTTTCCCTTTTCATTAGATAAGAGCTGTGCTTGCATGCCTAGGAAATAGCAGAGGCGTTATTAAGATGGCTGCAGAGTGAACTAACTTGCCTTCAAGGGACGTTGCTGGTACATGATTTTCCTAACTAATTTCTTAGAAGTAATAAAAAAATAACAGCAAAAAATAAAAAGAGATAGATAGAGATACAATACAATAAAAAGAGATACAGTAGGTTTTTCACTAGATTTGTGAAAAACCTACTGTATACTACCGTTCAGAACCTTGGGGTCATTGCGAATAAATTAATACTTTTATTCATCAAGGATGCATTAAAATGATCCAAAGTGACCTTTAAGACATTTATATTTTTTTACAAAATTTCTATTTCTATTTCAAATACCTGCCGTTTTTTCAAACTTTCAACTCATTTAAAAATCCTGAAAAAAAAACAAATATCACAGTTTCAACAAAATTATAAGAAAAGTTTCTTTAGCATTAAATCTGCATATTAGAATGAGTTCTGAAGGATCATGTGACACTGAAGACTGGAGTAATGATGCTGAAGATTCAGCTTTGCCATCACAGGAATGAATTACTAATTAAAATATATATAAAAAATAAAAATAAAAAGGAAAAATAAAATTTAAAAAGTAAACTTGTCAGCTACTTCCACACCACGTCCAATGCTTTCCACAGAAACCCACACAGCAGTGCGGCAAAACAAAATGCCATTATTTTCCAGCCACGGAAGAAAAAAACAGCATCTAATTGACAATTAAATGCAATTTAGGAAAATAGGAGAGGCTACAAATGTACTGTTTGTTGGTATTGTTGTGACTGAGGCTCACAGGATGTTGCTAAATGAAAGTACACTGCACAGTCACTGGGGAGAAAAAGTGACTTTAGAAATAGCTCGAAAGCAGTTGCTGTCCAGTTCTGTGCGTTGTCCATACATCTTCTTGATGTCATAAGCCAAAGGTTGAAGCGGTCGGTGAGAGGTCTTACCTGAGGGGAAGTGCTCATTGATGGCCCAGTTGTCCACCTGAAGTGTAGCATTGCCCCCATTTCGGGTGAAGCGAACTACATGGTACTTGCCGTCATTTACAGCGGTGCTGCTCTCCTGAACAGTGATGTCAGACGTTCCGATGTTGAATGTGACTCCAATTTTGCCTTGTTCCTGAAAAGGATGAGAAAAACATCAGTTTTGTCCACAACATCTACATTAACAACAAACACATGGGATGAATTCAGGTAAATTTTGTGACTTTCTGCCATTCAGTTTCACCTTTTGTATTTTTCCTGTATTTGCCTCAATGAAGAGATGCATTTATTCTTTGTTGATTATTTTTTAATGACGCAGTTGCCCTTGAAATCTGTCACCTCTTGCTTTGCTTTTGTTCTAGCAGGATCCTGAATAATCTATTAGCATTAGTGACCCCTGATAAACTTGTCCGCTTGATGAAAAGTATTCATCAGCCATTAGCACCCCCCATCTTTGGAGGTGAAGAATCTGGCTCATTGATTTACATAATGCAGTGAAAGTGGACTAAATCAATAGCATTAGCTAAAATAGAGAAAGAGATAAGAATGATTAATGGAACAGGAAGGTGTGCAGTGTTTGCCCTCATGGATCCAAGAGGCTGTGTGCAAATGTAGCTGCAAAGATTTCCACTATAAATTAATTAGCACAGCCTCAATGAGCATCGGTGGAGCAGGAAGCATTGAGGAAATGTTTCATCCATCGTCAATGTCATGAATTAACTATATGTTTTGAAAGTGTCTGCTGGAAACCAGCCTAAGCTGGTTTGGGTTTTGGGCCCTTGTCAGTTGCTCAGACCGGCTAAATCAGCATTAACCTTTTTTTTTTCTTCTCTGCAACCGTTTCATCCTCTCTAACGCACTCTCTCTACCCCCCTCCTGAGCCCTGTGGGTTGCATGGATATATTTTATGGTTATGTTAAACCGAATCTGGTGTTGTTCTTATCTCTTGCAGCATGGAAAATGACGACAGATGATAAATTGTATCAAGGGAGATGTTTATCACCGCAGAGTGCATTTATCACAGAAAAATCTCCCTGAGAGAAATCTGGGCCAGTTCTCTGAAGTTCATTTGGAAGACTTTCCCAAAGACCGGAATGCTGTGTATATTCTTCTCTGTTTATGTCTTTGATTAACCCTAATGTTTTATTGATATTGACTTTACTGATTTCATGTTTGGTGTCCCAGAGACCCCAATGATGTGCACTAAAATAAATTTTTCTTTTATTCACCAAGGATGCATTACATTTAACAAAAGTAACAACAAAAAAAAAAAACTTAAAAAAAGATGCTATTCTTTTTATCTTCTATTAAACAAATAATCATGAAATTTCTAAGCCAGCATATGAGAATGATTTCTGAAGGATCATGTGAAAATAATGACTGGAGTAGTTGCAATTTAGGTTTGCCAACACAGGAATAAATTATGATTTAAAACACATCAAAATTGAAAACCGTTATTTTAAATTTTAATATTAGTTCACAGTATAACTGTTTACTGTATTTTCGAACAAATAAAGGCTGCCTAAGCAATGTGTACAGTTTTTTTTGAACATATTAAGAAAGTATATTAGATCAATTTTGTACATATGCACTTCCTCAGAATTCAAAATTATATGTAATAATAATTACATTTAAGAAAACTGCATCTCACTCTTCAGTGTCTCAAACTATGAGTGGAACATTTTAAAACACTGTTTAAGTCAAATATAATTTGAATAATGCCTTGCAAGATCCCTATTTTCTGCTATTTTTTATTACACACCATCTTGCTTTTTTAAATTATACAAAATTGACGTTAAATTGACATCCATAATAATTACTATTAGAAATATTTTTTTTAAATAGTAAGTTTTAAATTTAAAGTATGAGAAAATACGTTTTCTTTATGTTCCACTTCATGCCATGCCTCCTTTAACTATAGTAAATGGCCTCTTGTAGGTTATGGCTATATTGTGTGTGTTTATTTATTTATTTAATGGATAGATATGCATAGGCTTGTCAATGTGTGGTATAGTTTTAATGAAGTGTTTGTGTTCAATGATTCTTCAAGTCCCTTGAGACCGTCTTTATAGAGGAAGGAGGATTGTATATTACTGTAACCCGGCCTTTCTTCCTGCATGAAAAGCTACAGAAAACATATCTCTGCCCTCTTATAAAATATTAATGAGTTGAAAATGAGTCAAAACACATAAAGAGCACTTTGCTAAATCTGTTTCCACAGACTTACACATACATACACACACAGTGCTATGAAATATCTAACCGCCCTGTTACTTTTCACTTTGTGAAAGCCTCTTGCTGCTGTATTACTTGTTTGATCACAGAAACACTCTTTTACATTTAGCATCAAAGAGTTTATAAGTGTCTCTCTCTTGCACTCTCTTTCGTACATCCATCTCATCCCCCTTCCACGTTCCAATTCCAATACTGCAACGCCTTCGTATCCAGGAGGGTAAAAGGACGAATAAACTCTTGGTTTTTGAGCAAGTGATACATGAAAGGAAATAGTCTGTCACGCACACACACACACACACACACACACTATATTGAGCGTCAGGTCAGCACTGCATACAGGAAAAGTGAGCAAATACAGAATAAGCTTTGTGCGATTTATCTATTATGGGTCAATGACAAATAAAGATGGCCAAGATCAATGAAAATGTAAAAAAAAAAAATTGAAAGAAAAAAAGAAAAGAAAGAAAAAGAAAATGAACGACTGAAAATTTAGAGTGGTATTGTCATCGAGTTTTCCTTGAATACACTTCATTATTTTAAGGTAAAAATTATAAGGTAAAAACAAATATTTGTAATAAATTATCATGAAAAAAATTATCATGATTGTAGTTTTGGGTTATTAATCATTAAAGTTTTTTTGGGTTACTCAATTTCACCTGAAATAAAGATAGACAGACATGTTTTATGATTTTCTTGTTTCATGACAACATAATGTGTTCCTGCATGTTGGTTATGCTAATATTAATTTTCTAATCAGAAAAAAAAATGTTGATTTTAGTTTTAATAATCTTTCAAGAATTCCAGGACTTATTTCTTTGATACAATTTCCAAACCTCCTACAACTTTTTATTTAATTAATTTCAATAATCCTGAATTTTGAATACAAGGCTGAATGCCACTTAATACTTTTGAATGACACTTTTAGGACATTCTTCAAAAGTGCCCAGTCAAATATACAACTCTGCTGCAGGCACAGTTTAAAATGATTGGCATGTCCAATTACTCATTGTATATATGAAGTGGAATAGGACATGCAAAAAAAAAAAAAAAAAACTGATTGCCAGAATGGGTTTGAATC